AACGAATATTTAACTAGCGGATCTAAGGAAGAGAGATAAAGTAGGATACACACACTTTTGGTTATATCACGCCCTCTGCCTTCATGGACGTGAGTAGTGCACCATGGTGAAACAACTGGGCTCTGTCGTGAGTTACGATGTCCTGGCTGCAGCAAAGGAAATGGTGGAACAATTGGATCATCGTTGGGTTTTGTATGGTCGTATGTGGAGGCCCTATTGGTGAGGGCGGATGTCGACCTAAAAAAGGGTCACTTGACAAGGGGTGAGAATATTCCGTAGGAGGTAGTGGAGGTGTGCGGACGTATGCCCTTATACGTATCTTCAGGTATGTCATGAGTTATCGCGTAGTCCCTGTTTGGATATTGCCATCTCCGATTCGGAGAGGTAGGAAGTAAAAACTTTTGTGATGGTTGGTAGTAGGTCAAGTGGTTATTAATAACCCCTGAATCGGTTCCAACTTTATATTTTGAGGTGCGACAGCGTAAAGTTTTCAACTGATTTAATGAGCGCTTCTTCTATTCTGATGCAGGAGGTTTAGATGTTATGCGTTGTTGGGCGTTTCCATGGAATATTGTAGTGATACGACACTCCACATTGCCATCTATGCTTAATTGGGACGTAGCATGTTTATTAAATTTCAAATAATATTAGTTTCACACTGTAAAGTGAGTTGGTGCCACGTAATATACGCGGCCGTTGCTCCCGGCAAGGGCACGTGAGATGGCACTAACTTCTTCCTGTGCCCAGTATCTTCTGGTCAGACTTAGCCAACACACCCTTGTCGTAACACCTCGTGGGTGGGTTGGTGGACTACGTGCTTCTGAGTATCTTTAGATAGGGGTAATGTTGCTGATCTGTCAAAGCCACATCATTGCCAGTATGACGCGTCCGTGGGAAAAATACGAGCAGATCATTTCAGACGTAGGGTTTGGGGGCCTTGTCTTTTAACTGGATGTGGCACTAAAGACAATCAGAGACCTGCGAATCAGAACCTCTTGCAGCATCAAACTGTAGGTCTCTCTTTGGTAATGTTGAATCACTCCTCCTCCTTTGATGAATCTGTCGTTTTAGATGACCGAACATTATTGCAGTGAAACCAGCATCCGTCATCGCATCGTGGCACTATATGTTTCTGGAACGTTGCGAACGTTCAGTTCAGTCAGCTTATTTAAAAGGACCTGAGTACTTGTATATAAGCAGGCCAATCTCTCAGTCTCTAGAAGCCCACAAGTTGCTAAAGCAGTTGGATGTGTGAGAATGCCGATAGCTGTGAGTGCGGACGTTATTCTTTTTTGATGGGATACTTACACCACGTCTGATGCCTGATTTGGTCCTCGTCTAGATCTATTTCATAGTAGAGTGAACCAACGGTCAAGTAAAGCTCCTGTGTAATCGCCATTAGGTTTGCTTTTTCAGATCTTTTCTTGTTTACTTTTTGTATAACTACTGCTTTCTTTAACCGAAGTTCAGATGGAGGGCTTTGTGATATTTCTTCAATCGTTCCAACCTTTTCTTTGATGTTTGCTCTGAATGAACCACGAGGTTAGCATAGTTGGGCCTCATACTCTATTATTTGTTGAGAGGCAGCATTATAGGTGATCGTGCGACAATTTGATTCAAGGAAATTTTTTCACGAATGAAGTGCCACTGTTCCAACTCGTGTTTTCCGGTCTTTTGACTATCGTGGAGATTGAGCTCTGCCACGCCATGGATGTCATCATATCACCATCAACAACAGTATATCAGGTATTCGTACTGATGCTTCGCAGCCTTACAACCACGGTGATTTACGGAACGAAGATCAATAAAAAGGAGAAAAGGGGGAACTAGCGTAAAACCTTAAAGACCTAAACAAACACAATGTCAATATGCCCACACATTGTAAACAGCTGGCTAGCAAGCAAAAGGAAGGCTGCATCAGGAACGAAGGTTCCTTGTAGCTTTCATTGCCCCGCGTCATAATCAGCCATTACCCAGCAGATAACTCAGCCACAAACACACTTTAAACAGGCAATCCGATTAGGAGACGGCAGCAGACGCGCCACTGGTGTCGGTTGCGAGCCATGTCCTGTAAAGTCTCGAGCCAAGCATAAGGCGGGTCACGTGGACTCCAGCCCGGAAGGGGAGCCACACAGACGGTACTCAGTTTGGCCGTCATTGACTTCATTTCCCGCTGCCAAGTCAACTGTTATCCACCGCGAAGCTTGCGCCATCCTACACCAGGCAGACTAAAGAAGGCCGTCCTAGGTAAGCGGTGACCAGGCATACATAGCACGTGCCCAAGCCAACGCAACGTATTCATTGGTATCTTTTGTTCTAAGGAGCTAACATGATTATCACCATCTGGTAGTCGCCTGCGCACATCATTGTTGCTCACAAGCTGGTGCCTCTCGACACTAGCAATACTCTACTGACAACGATGATCAAAGACTTAAAGGATCATCAGATCAACCGACTAAAGGGGCCAAGTCTCACTCCCATAGAGCAGGATGGTCCTCACTGTGCAGAGGTTGAGTGACGAGTAACTCATACTATCTTTTTAGCTTTCGCTTTCACTTTCGTCGGAATGCACAATGAGTTTCCTCGGTCTGGGTCGTCGAAAAACTCACCCCGCAATGTGATGGCGATAGATTCTTACAACTGATGTTTGTTTACCTTTTTAGACAAGGGGAAACTCCCTTCTGTCGCTAAAGATGCTGCAGGTTCAAGAAGGCAGTACTGGATTTTGCAACGCTTGAACTGACTTCATTTTCTACGTGCCCACTGTTGCTGGTGCAGCTGCCAAGGTAAGTAAATCGATTAACTACCACGAGTTCCCGGTTATCAAGGATCAAGGGGTCATCGAGTGGTTTTGTGGTCCTGCGGTAACGTTTTACATTTTGAAGGACCCAAGCGCATGCCAAATAATGGGATGATTCCAAATCATTAAACGGCTTGACAATATCGTCCGCATAATCAAGAGCATCTAGCCTTTCTCCAGGCAGCACAAGGCTTGCATCTTGAGGCTCCGCCAGGGGACACTCCATGATGCAGTCCACAACAAAGTTGAACAAAAATGGGGAAATTTAGAAAGCCAGTTGTTGTCGGGAAGATGTCCGATAAGTCATCGTACGCTCTGACGCAGCCTGTCGTGTTCCAGTATAGCGCACGTAAAATGTTCACACATTTCCTTGGAACACCTTTCCTCGCAAATATTTCGAACAGGCTGCATCGATCGGCTGAGTCGAACGAACTCATGAAGTCTAGCATGACGATTGTGTTAAGGTGGCTCTGCTTGCTGTCTCCCGCCGTGTTCGTTTTCTTTTATCGTGCGCTCTAAATGCTATCAGGATAGACGCATCTCCTGCATGATCGCTTTTGTAGTGCACTTGCAAAAAGTAAAAATGCTTTCTATATCAGTGGTGAATTCTAATGCCACTCTACTAAGTGACGGTTCGCCATAGTGTGCAGAGGTTGAGTGGCGAGTAACTCGTACTAAGTTTGTGGCTTTCGCTTTCACTTTCGTCGGAATGCACAATGAGTTCCATCGGTCTCGGTCGTCCAACAACTCACCCCGCAATGTGATGGCAATAGATGCTTACCACTGATGATCGTTTACCGTTTGTTCACTATGCGCTTTAACAGGCAGTAACCCGGGTGACCTTTGCAGCAATATCTGCATCTTAGACTCATGTTCCGATTGACCTAAGCGAGACAAGAGTACTTTGAGCTGTAGAATTCCTGTGTTCGGCGTAATTTAATCGAGCACACGTTTCGGGTGGTACCTGCTTGTCTGTGTTATGAGTACGGCTTTGGAATCAGAGCCCAGCGCGGCTTCCGCCCGACGTACTGCCGCAGTCTAAAGAGCCAACGACGATGACGATCTTGCAGGTCATGGTTCAAGGAAAGCAATTAATGCACAATTTCTTTGCTTAGGGGCCACTACACTTTCCTGACATATACGCGCTTCCAATACACTAATATTGGTGTTCATTCCCTGTTCGGCTTCTGGTACTAACCGGTTGCATTTGTGCACTAGTATAGCCGTACGCTTATCGAGTGGGGTGTTCGAACAGACTCTACAAGTCCAAAGAAGGGCTGGGGAGCTCTTCGTTCTCGCACCTCTGGTTGTGATAGCACAGCACACTTTGGATGGAATCGGTTAGAAAAAATGCTGGCATCTAGACAGTAATTTCACCAATCGATTACATTCTCCCGACCCACAGGTACCCATCGCCTGGAGCCCTTTTGGATCCTCTGCTATTTACTTTCAGCTACTCAGCAGTGTCGGTAATTGAACCAGTGAGCTGGTTTTGTTGGCTACTTTCGCGATGCCTGTCGGTTGCGCAAACCTGTCAAACGAGTAGTGTGGTTAGAATGGTCACGCGAGCGCGGACTGGAGGGTGAAGTGGCTACGCGGGTCGGTGTGATGGATTACCCCAGTGCATCGGTCGACAACTTCACGAAGGTTGGTGATTGGCATTGGGTTATCGCTCATTTCCTCTAATATGCCTGGTAAACAACAAGGTATTACAAAATTCGAGATAGATAATGCAGAAGATATAGGAAAGCACGATTTCCAGTTACCTTGCTTGGCTCAAGAATGCTCTTCCGAATGACTGTAGAAAACGATGAAGTGATTCAAAACTGAACGGTTACACGAGTGAGTTTCAACAACAAAATCTGTCACAACCGCAGAAGTGAAACAGAGTTTCAGACAATAAAAAATCTAGGAGATAAATATAAACAGCGTGAGTTTATGCTCAGTGCTGCGTAGCAAGGAGGTGAGGAATGATTCACAAAAGAGAAGAGTACCGAATTATTGCTACAGCAAGAGTCAAGAATGCTGATGCTTCGACTCGCTGCGCATGCACAATGTTGGCATTCCTGGCTTGATATGTTCTGTTATTATACTAACCCGGCTCTGCTCCATACTAGGTTGGTTATCACTGGCGCAAGGATAAACATCATTTGGTGACATTTGTTTCCGACCAAACACTAGAGAACACTCTGGAACTTACCGAGCTCTTTTAAGATATGTACCTCCAGGGAAGCCAGAATTGCGCTGTGGTGTCTCATAGATTGAAATCATGTCGTCAGACAGATGATAGGAAAGAATAAACCGTCTGTGAGCATCCTCAGGTCTGACACTGTCCTAAAAATGTGCGGAGAGCAGTACGACGAAGTAAGTGGGAATAAATAGCACAGTGAACGGGTGAGGTAGGTGGCATGTAGAAGGAGAGGGGTGTGTTTTGACTTTTCTGACCCAACTTAAATCTTGATAACTTTAGGCAAATCGTTGGCATTCTTAGCAATTCATATAACAACGCGCAAATTTTCCTGTCTCCACACAATGCTTCGCTTGGGGCTCAACTTTCAAACATGTTCGGACTTGTTCGGGACGTGACGTAAGGGACATTCGATAGTAAGATAACCAACGTACCGAGCAGTTAGGCTAAATAACTGAAGACAACGTTAGCAGGAAGCTAGGTCTCATGTTAGTGATGGTATTAGCAGTATACTGAGATATCGCTGAGGCAGACGAACTAATGTGCACCTTTAAATGTACACTACCAGCAGGAGAATGGTATTTCACCTCAAGTCTGCCGAATTGAAGTTGATTATTTTTCTATACTACTGGTATGGGTTACCGTACCGAGATTACGTGATGACAGTCGTCCATGCCGGAGCACAGAAGCACCGCAACCGGTGACTACCATCGGGCTGGTCAAAAGATTAACAGGCCTTATCCATGTTAACAGACGAGGTCGATTTGAAAGCACTACAAGTGACTTTCAGTGATAAAGTAGACTAAACATGTCACTAATATGCAAAAAGAATCCAAAATCCATGTGATCGGTGCAGCCGTGACCTGGCTGTTTAATAAGACGATCTAAAAATGACATTCCCTGTGTTGTTGAGCATGTGTCCCTTATGTGATTCATTTTACACATTTTCAATCGCCAATACTGTATCATAAGGCAATGAATCGGCCGTTAATTGCTAGGCTTTGATAGTGCACACCTGCGTGCAATGAAGTTGTGCTCACCTGCGCAAGGTGAGCAGGCACATGAAGAGATGAACTTTACCTAGTGTACTGATATTTTTACGAGTAGTACGCTAGAGACGTATCTCAACTTTGTAGGTTACGTAATGGTTTGGAAATTCAGCATTTCTCGGAATTAAGATTTAAGTTTTCACTGTCAATCAAGTCAGGAATGTGCTTTATGCAATTACGAATGAAGAATAATCACGGGAAGAAATGCAACCAGCGCCCCTTCGCTTAACGCGCAGAATTCGCATAAGCAGCTAAAGTGGACAAAGCCATGCAGCAAACGTTACTTGTGACGCAAATCTAAATCCCTCTGCGTGATCACCCACTGGGCATTTTAGGTTATGTAAAGAAACGCGAAACCCATTGGCCTCATTGTGGAGTTCCGAGCCAGCGGAAACTGAATAACACAGACTCAATATATATAAAAATTTTGGAACCAGGTGAATAACGGATATTTAGTGAGACTTTCTTGCGGTACAGGAAAAATTTAAATTAGTAAACTAAGAAAATGTTATAAACTGCTGCAACGGGCATATCGGATACAAATGCAGGGTAATGCCTTTGTCTGATAAGGACATTTACAATGAGGCTACTGTGTTGGTTGTTCAAAATATCATTCGTTGAGCAAATATTAAGGCCTTCCCGAAAATGGGAATGTGCCATTACAAATTTCCTATCACGAGAAAGAATCCCAGAGGGCGTAATCTACTAATATGCACCGACTATGACGAATTGAAACTAACTTTATATTGACAGACCCTAGCGACAATGTCCCACGGAAGGCACTAAGATGTTCTTATAAGTTTAGCCTCCTTCCGCTAAGATATCGCGTTGCTTTGATAATTGTAGCTTCGGACTGCTATTAGGATGCCTAGAGCTCAGAATTATTTTTGATCTTCGACAGTACAGATCACTTTAACAATCAATTCTCTCCGAACGCTTTATACTTTTATGTACATCCTATCTGGAGTTGGGCCTGTATCCAACTATCATCAGGATTCGTACACCATGGAACGATCTAAGTATCCTCACGGTTATGTGGTGTAAATTCAGGTTGGAAACGATCCATGATATCGCGTCAAGGTAAGTAACCAACTCCATCAACTATACACAAGATTTTATAATTAACGGAATATTGTAGCATTATATTTTAGTTGGTGCTTATTTTATTCCAACATATATAGTATGGGTTTAAGTAAAGGACATTATAAAGTTAAAACCGTCAAGTGTCAGACACTTGGAAGATTGAAGGACATTGAAGCACAACGTTTAATCGGACCCAATCGAGTCCCACCACCAGGCACATTTCATAGGTAGACATCCCCAGTCACCACTGTTCGCTTTCCACGAAATGTGGCATACATAACCTATGCGAATTACTGGGGGCCTAAATTGTTGCCAAACAACGCTCCTCGCCAGCAATCAGTGCTCAGATTGCATGGTTGTATTTCACATAGTTAGTGAAGATTCCGATCAGTTGATAACGAATTGTCCACACATCTACACAGACAAGAACAAATGGTTACTCAATTGTGTACACAGTTTGACATCCAAAATGGGTGTGGCTTATGTAAGTATTTCAGCCGTCCTCAGCTGCGTTTGCTGTTCCAAATGAAGTTGGAATTAAGATAGTAAATGAAGTTGGGGTTTGCGATGAATTAAACAAATTTTATAAACTAAATATATGCCAAGGGCTTACTAAGCGCGCTTCATATCGCAAGCATTTAGTTGCGTAGTCCACTGCTTTGGCATAATCCATTCGCGGTGGATGAGGCATAAAAGATTTCATGGAGGCCAAACTGTCTTCCAGACTCCCGAAGCCATTGTATGGAGGTAATTCCTGGAAACGAAAGGTACACGCCATCGCGTTAATTGGCTGTCTTCGTTCTGTTAACTTTGAAGTATTTAAGCCAAGGATGCGCTGATATCCCAGCTCATAGAAGCACTGAACTAATTCCTCATCCCAATCGAAGTGCGTAATGGCACATTGAAAGTAGGAGCATTTAATACCATCTCAATGACTAATGTTTGCAAGCTTCCAGACATTGTAAACAACCGCATAGGTTGATAAAGGTAAATACAGCAGCGGCTATAATATTATACAAGGATAGCGTTGTTCGCACAAAAGGTGCATTCCGCATATCAATGAACAGATGCAAAAAAGGAATGCCTTGCATCTACCTTGCAATTCACTCAGGTGTCGAGCTAATCACCTTCAAATGATTCGTTTTACACAGATTTCAACTGCCGTTCATGTATGGCCTGATAATGAATCTACAGAGAATTGCCTGTTTATACCATTCAGCTCGCCCTACTACTTTCTTGTAATCGGCATACATACCAAACTGCTCTTTATGCCGTAAGTTAATTAGTTGGTTAGATTTGGTAAGTACGTTGCTTGGTAAAGATGCCAGCCTGTCCTATGCCTAGAAGTAATGTGTAAGTCAGCCGAGAGTGATTGGCACCTTACCGCATCTAGTAGTTTAATTACACTGGCCGTTACAGTACCCCGTAGCCAAGCAGTCTTCCCCACAGACTGGTAACAGTCGGTTTGCAGGTTCTAGCCCCATACGAGCTAGATGGAATACGCAGCGCCGACTATTCCGAATGGGATGAAGCAGTATCTTTCTGGACGAATGAATGCTGCCCGACTATGTTTAGATGTGATGAAAATCAACTTGTATCAGTCAGATATGTCGAGATTAGAAAGGCGTATGGTAACCTTAGGAACTACAAGCCAGATTGATAACTGACTAATGGTTGAGGTAGTGGCGACGGGGGCTGCAAGCAAATTAGGTGGCAGTAAGGCGGATCACGTAGGTTATCCATCCAAATGAATGGAAAGTTGATGGACAGATGAAAATTTCCTTGGACATGCCTGAAGTATGCCAATTACTGAGCAAAATTGTTGGTTGAAATAAAAGGCGGGTAATTCGTTCATTGCATTGATGGTGGTTATGAAACTGCATCGAAGCATCAGTCTTGTCAGCCACATTCGGTTGAACAACTGTATATCTGAATGTCAAAGTGGATGGACTCCGTTGAATTTCGTGAAACACCGGCTTGCAATGGAGGGAAAAGATCGGAATTTTCAGACGGAAAAGCTGTAGCATGATGCTTGATTACAGGTTGTAGAAACACTGTGTTACGTTCTTGAAGCATGTGATTCCGCGCTTCACCTTATGACATGCCATCCACTTACACTGTCCCAAAGCTGTCCACATTTAAAACGTTTCGCCACCGTTAAGGAGTGCCAGAAACCATTCAGAAAGTAGTGTTTCGAAGAATAGAGAAAAGCTTCATTTAATAAAGCTAATTAAAGTATGGTTTATGTAAGTGTATGTACGACCTAGCACTTTAACCACGCTATTTTGAACAAATTTGATTCATAAATAGTCTTTTACAGTTTGTAGCTAAGACGACAATTTATATACACATACCTTTTTTATGGGCTCTGGCTCTTTAACGGACACATCGATCGGTTTTAAATCCGTGAGTCCAAAGTTTTGGTAATACCATGCCTTGGTGAAATTGTCGCAGTCGTAGAGGAAGAATTTTCTACCCAAGATTGTGATTGATTGGCCGATGCGAAAATCCTTCGGTGCAAAGTACTCCTTGATTTCTTTGTCTGTGGAATATGACAAAGGTGAACAGTCGATTGAATGCACTATGCGAACGCTCTTACAATTTTTGTGATATCGTGACCGATATAAAAAGCTCAATGAGTGGGCTTCAGTGGAGTGATCACCAATAAGTGTCGAAATTCTTAGGTTATGAAGATTAGTTGGAGTGTGATAACTACATTTTCATTGTGGATAATCATGTTAAACCTTGCGCTGATACCTGCCTGATAAGTATGATGTTTATGGTGATATGCAGAGTTACGCAAAGTATCCAAAGCTTGGTAATACGGAAGGGGTATGTTAAAACGCGTTTGATCGAAAGAGTTGTGGCGCAAACAGGCGAAGGACTACAAGGGGTCAAAGTTTAACGTCAGTATATATATATATATATATATATATGTATATATATATATAGGATTTCCACTGACGATTAAAGGTTTTTCAAACCACATTGGATGTTTTGCAAGACTACTTGAACATTTCGCGAACCAAGATCTACTTTTTTCAAAACAACTTGAACCCCTTGTGTTCTAAGCAGAATAACGGCAATCTGGACGATGTCCAGACCACATTGTGGTCATGCTAAGGCAAACGAATTGCGCAACCAGCGGGTGCCACTGCAAACCCTTCTCATGAACAGGAACCTCGGCCACCTCGACCAAGGGCAGTGAGTTAATCTTCAATTTCTACCCATCGACCGAGTTGTGTGTGTGGCTCGCCCGAATGCATGAACAGTTGCAGATGTGTGACTATCAGAAAGTCAGACTACCGAATCGCGTGCTCTTTTATGGATCAATGAATGTTACCCAGCATTGGAGAACCATTGTGAGACACTCACTAAGTGAATGGATTGCGATTCCCATTGAAGTAGCGTGGGCCAAATTTAATCACTGTGGCAGTAGATGATAAAGCACCAAGTAGGTGAAACAGATTTCCCCCGTCCCTCTACGTGCCTTCGCGGATCGTGTGTGAATGTGGGTTAACCTATACAGTTGTAAGAATATTAGAACAATATACGCTATCACGACTCCACCAAACCCAGCCTAGCTTTATTAACCTACTGCTGTAATTTGTTATCAACTAATGACAAGTAAAGCGACTGAACGCTGTTTAGATTACACTATGGTCACCCCAATGCAACTGAATTGTGCAAACAGTGGGCGATTGTGCAAGCCGTTCTCTTGTCATGGGCATCGTTCATCTCGAAACAAAGTCGGTGCTCCAGATTTCTTCTGTCTCTGTATGGGTCTTCGCGTATTTTTTGTGAGTGTGTATGCGAAAGTATGCAGCTGCGCGACTATTGGAACAGTGCAGGCTATCCTGACTCTATAAAACACGGTCTAGACTTATTGGTCGGCAGCTGCATGAATCGACCAAAATGAGCGATGTGAGAACGCATCTCCAAGGCCGCGACGGTAAAGCAGACGTCATCGGCACGGAAAGCAAGAAACTCGTGTTCGTCGACGGAAAAACCACGTATGAAGTTGTGGAAGTCGTCGAAGTCAACGAGGTCACGACAAGAAACATCATCAATGCTTTCATTCGAGAAGGTACCAATACTCAGCACATCTGTTGTGGAAACACTATAGAGGGAGGCTGACTACCTGCAGGAAGTTGCTGCATCCGTTTAACGGCATTCCGAAGAAATTAGTCCAACTGCAGCAGCGAATGAGAGGGAAGGTGATCCACATTTCCTCGTCTACCATCTTCAAGGCCACAATAACTGCCATTACGAGCCTAACCGTGTCAACCGTTCCACGACAGTCGCAAGCTGGAAGGCCTACGCTCTCGACTGCCTGGTGCACGCACCACATGACAAAGAGCGATGCATCTTCATAGATGAGATCAGGTTCAATTTCTATTCTAGGCGGATGAGGGCGCGCTCAAGAAGAGGACGCGCACGAACATCCTCTTGTCCACAGCCAGAGGCCGCATAGTGACGTTGATTGTGGCAATGAATAACCAAGGCACGGTCAACTCAAAGATCGTCAACGATGGCACCTGCAATGGGGCAAACTTCTCAGTGTTTGTCGATGAACTTTTGGCGCGTATTCGCTGCAGAGTGAAGATGAACAGTGCATAACTCCTCATGGACAATGCCAGGATCCATGGATCTTCTTATCAGCTGACTTTTCTGTCACCCTATTCGTACATGCCGAACCCAGTAGAACACGTGTTTTCGAAGGTGAAAGCGTCGCCGAGAAGCCTGCTGACCAATCCGACGCCTGACCAGACACTAAGTACGGTCATTCAAGAGAGTATTGGAACGATAACGCAGCAGGGCTGCACGTACTGCGTCCTCAATATGATGCTGATCCTAACAGAAACAGCCGCTGAACAGCCCTTCATTAACTGAACATTTTTAACGTTAATGCTCTTTCTCGTTAATGCACCATTTCCATTTTAAAGTAGGTGATTTTCAAGCCGAAGTGCTGCAGTTAGCATGTCGGACTAGGGCACGATACCGATAGCACAGGCTTGTCAGGTTGCGATGTCGTGGCACTACTGACGCGGTCTAGCTCGTAGTGGCACAACTTGAGCGTTCTATTTGACCTCTTGAGGGCGTTGAAGATAGTAGATAAGGTTAGGCGGGTTCCGTTCTCGCTCAGCCGCCGCTGTAGCTGCACAAAGCGTCCTCAGAATGTTGTTTAGCGGTCTCATCGACGCGCTGCAGAACATCTGCAATCAACTTCCCCCTGCTGTTTCTTCCACCTTTGTGCTGAGTGCTCTTGCTTTCTCTTCTGTAGGCAATGGTGTTGTTCCTTGCCGTGCTCTCGTTGACATCGACAACTTCAACAACTTCATACGAACACGAGTTTCTTGCTTTCCGTGCCGATGACGTCTGCTTTACCGTCGCGGCCTTGGAGATGCGTTCTCACATCGCTCATTTTGGTCGATTCATGCAGCTGCCGCCCAATAAGTCTAGACCGTGTTTTATAGAGTCAGGATAGCCTGCACTGTTCCAATAGTCGCGCAGCTGCATACTTTCGCATACACACTCACAAAAAATACGCGAAGACCCATACAGAGACAGAAGAAATCTGGAGCACCGACTTTGTTTCGAGATGAACGATGCCCATGACAAGAGAACGGCTTGCACAATCGCCCACTGTTTGCACAATTCAGTTGCATTGGGGTGACCATAGTGTAATCTAAACAGCGTTCAGTCGCTTTACTTGTCATTAGTTGATAACAAATTACAGCAGTAGGTTAATAAAGCTAGGCTGGGTTTGGTGGAGTCGTGATAGCGTATATTGTTCCAATATTCTTACAACTGTATAGGTTAACCCACATTCACACACGATCCGCGAAGGCACATGGATGGAGATGGAAGAACTTGTTCATCGTTTATCCTCCACATTTACGCTTCCAATAATCGAATTGACCGAGATTTACTACAGTGGGAATCGCGGCACATGACCATATATTTTTCGCAATTCATGCACGGCCCTTGACCTGGGCATTATATTAATTCGGCGAGATTGGACAAATGTCCTGGCGTAATATTAGAACAGTATACATATAAAAGGCAAATAATGATCGGAATCGCTCGCGAAGGTGTAAGTATACGATATTAGTGTGATAGTTTTTTGACATAGCACTCCGCATGTGGGTGTCGTAAACTTGAAGGGATCTTCTTATGGTGGACACACAATCGAATAGGTCAATGGGTCAATGGTGTATAATGGGATGAAAAGCATAACTTTACAAGACCCACAGGATGGATATGCAAAAGAAAATTAAAAGCGAAGTGTTCCAACGTGGAACGTAAAGTATCAGTGGTTAAATCATTGCACTTTAACAAAGTGTTGTGTATCGTTTATCACTAAGATGAAAATCTAAGAGTCTTTCGAATGTCGTCATGTCTGGTGCGTTCACCACATAGTTTGGTAATGCATTCCAGTGAGAACAGATTCTAAGTGAGAAAAAATACTTTCTACAATTCAAACGAAAGTGTTGCGTCATTAGTTTCAGGTGGTTGCCTCGGTTTTGTTTGTATGGGGCTAGAGTCAACAGTGGATGCTCGCTTTCGGTTAATATCCGGGATGTGAGAGTAAGATCTCCGCGAAGCCGTCGGTATTCTAATGAGAACACACCGAGTACACGAAAACGCAGTTCGTAACTTATACCGGATAGTCCACGCGTTGCTTTTGTGGCTCTTCTTTGGGGCTGTTCCAAGAGGCGGATGTCTCGTTTTAACCATGGACACCAGGCCTGAATTGTATATTCAACATGAGGACGAATGTAGGAGTTAATCAACAATGGTACTAGCTGTCGCTCAAAAGTCCCGATAGCTCGCCTCAAAAGTCTTAAGTTCAAGTTCGCCACATTTGCTGCTTTCGAACATTGGAGCGAATTTCCAAGATTCTCTTGCCCGATTATACCTAGGTCGCGTTCACTAGTCACATGTTGCATGACGTGTTGCCCCAAAAGGTATGTGTTGACGAAGCTGTTGTGCACCATTAGCAGGTGGCACTTTGCAGGGTTCAGTGGGAGCTGGTTCTTTTCTGCCCATTCGTTAATCCGGGTCAGATCTTCCTGGAGGTAGACACGGTCGGATGCTGAGCGAATAGCGCTCCATATTTTTGCATCCTCTGCAAATATTTGCATTGGAGATAGAATGTCTGCTGGAAGGTCATTAATGTAGACTAAAAATAGGAGCGGGCCGAGGACGGATCCTTGTGGTACACCACTGGAGACGTAAAGGCTTTCAGAATAGGTGTCGGCTACTCTTACCTTGATTGCACTGTCGTGTAAGTAGTCTTCCAACCAGGTGAGCAGAGAACCGTTGATACCGTAGGCAGCAAGCTTTTGGAGGAGAAAGAAGTGATTGACCCTGTCGAATGCTTTAGAAAAATCCAGGTATATCACATCTATGGGCAATCCTTCATCCGCCGCCCTGGTCCATAAGTCCCGAGTAATCAGCAGATTGGTGAGACAAGATCGTCTGCGTCGGAAACCATGTTGGGCATTAGAAATTATCTGTTGACTTTCAAAGTATCTC